TAAATCATTAGTCAATAGTTTAGAATCCCGTGACCCTAAATTCTTAAGTCTTTTAGTTAGTTTTTAGTATTTAACTTCAATATTTCTTTTATTCTTCATCGATTATCCTCTTCAATTCGTAAACTAAAGCAACTGTTTACGAGTTACTAGTTGTAAATTGCCTTTTGGAAAATAAAATTAGCCCAAAAGGTCAACTAGTAACAACGTTTTTGATTAGAAGTAAGACTTGTAATTGAGTCTATTGTTATGATGTTCGTTATAGTTGATTCATGAGATTGTGAAAGTTTACAGATAGGAAGTACTTGTGAGAAATCTCCTTGAAAAGAATTTTCTTTGTCAAAAGTACTCATAATTTTTTTTAATTTTTAAATACTCAGAGCCACCTTGTTGAACTTGGAATCAGTTTGATAAACCAGGAAGCAATAAAATAAAATTGACTGATTGAGTGATGAACGAATAAAGAAGGCGAAAGGAAAAAGAACTATTGAGGAGAAAAATAAGGAAGACAAAATAGAGGAAAGTAATAACACGACGTTTTGTTTTTTTTTATGCTTTTTTTATTTTATTTTCGTGAGTATTTTTACGCAATCTGATTGGCCGAAGTGTCATATGATAGTTCGGCTTCCGGGCAGGCGATGATTACATAGTCATGTGATCGAACCTGGCTTTAACGGTCCCCTAAATTAATAATCATTTCTTTAACATATAGTAAGAAAGAGTCGTTTGAAAATACCTTAAAAGATAAATATGTTAAAAAATTTGATTATAAAACATTTGAAAATATTACACGAATCGCAAGTGGAGCATTTGGTACGGTTTATCGTGCTAATTCATTAAATTTAGGAAAACACGTTGCATTAAAATGTTTGCATGAAAATGACGAGAAACTTTATGAAAAATTTGAGAAAGAGGTAAAAAATAAATTAGTTTTCATTAATATATATTTTTCGAGATGAAATTAAATTTTATAAGCAATTTTTTTGAAAAACAGTTAACAAATATCTTAACTGTAAATAACCATGAAAATATTATTAACTTTCATGGAATCAGTATAGGTATTATTTATATGTTATTTATTAAATTCATATTAAATAAAAATAAATATTATCATCAAAATAAAATTATTATTATTTAATAAAAAATATTATTTAGATCCTTCTACGGAGACGCATTACCTAATATTGCAATATGCCAAAGATGGTGACCTGAGGACTTATTTACAAAATAATTTTAGTAGACTTGGTTGGAAAATTAAAATCAATATGGCTAAAGATATTACAAGTGGTCTAAGCTATATTCACGCAAAAAATATAGTTCATAAAGATTTAGTAAGTATATAAGTATATATAATGTATAATAATAATTATATTGATTATATTTATTGATTATTTAAATCGTATATTTAAATTTATTTACTTTAATAGCATTCAAAGAACATTTTAGTTCACGAAGGAAGGCTATTGATAACAGATTTAGGATTATCTCGACCATTAGATTCCAATTCAAGTTCTATAGGTGGTGGAATGGTTGCATATGCAGATCCCGAATATTTAAGAAATCAAATAAATTCTATAAAATATAAAAGAGATAAAACTTCAGATATATATAGTTTGGGAGTTATTTTTTGGGAGTTGTCAAGTGGAAGACCATTTAATAATATCTCAAATTTAGGAATACCTAATTTGGTTATTTCCGGTAAAAGAGAAAAACCTATTAACGGAACACCAAAAGATTTTATCAACATATATTCAAGTGCATGGAAAGATGATCCAAAGCAAAGACCAACCATAGAAAATATTTTTGATTCTCTTGAAAATGTTCAATTCGAAAACATATATAATAATTCTAACGAAAATAATAAACATATCCAAATGGAAGGTTGTGATAACAATCAATTAAATAAATTTAAACCTATGGAATCTTACAGTAGAGATTCTATGTCGATAATGTCAATTGAATCAAATAATAAAATTTCTTTCGGAACTTCAATTAGCCTAGAAAATTTAGAAATTGCAGGTATTTTCTTTGAGATTGATAAATATAAATCACTTTATACTGGCATTAATTAATTAATTTGTTATTATTTTATGTAACAGATTATTTATTGCCATCTAAAACGTATGAATTATTTATTGACCCTTTAAAAATATGATTTTATATCCCAATCTTTTCAGTTCTAGGAAATCCTGGAGAATCATCACCTCTTTCTCTTAATTCTTATGACCAAGAATGGCTCAATAAGGAACTTAAAAAATATGGATATAATGTTTTTGAAAATATTGAAGAAATTGATGAAAGCATTCACAATGCCACATTATTGAATGGTAAAATGAAAGTGACTTTAAAATCTATCGTTGTTAATTCTATGGAATTATTTGTTAATGAGGTAAATACTATCTAATTAATATATTATACTAAAAAACTCGAAATTTATTAAATTGAATATTTTATATCTTATTTAATTTTCAGTTTAAAAAACATTTAAATGTTAGTATACATGAAAACATAATTTAATTTTTTACCTTTTTGTGAAATTCCATAGAATTCTATGAATTAATAAATAATTTTTTTAACGAAAATACATTAAATTATATATTTATATACATATATTTTGATATAGATTTGAATAGTAGAAATTATATACTTGTATTAGAACATTCAAATGGTGAAACATTACGTAATTATTTGAATTCCAATTTTAAAAAACTTGAATGGCGCAATAAGTTAACACTTGCTCAACAAATTGCTAAAGCAATTGAACATTTTCATTCATTTGATATCATTCATGGAGATATGGTAATTGTTTAAATTAGATTTTTTTATGAAAAATTATTTTTTTTTTTAATTCTACTATAATTTTATTTTATAGAATTCGGAGAATATTCTTATCCATAATGATACTATTAAGATTAGTAATTTTGGTATATCCAAACTTGTTATTGAACCTTCAATTGATTTATTGAATTCTTTGGGATTAATCGAGTACTCGGATCCAATGCTTCTTAAAGAAGAGGGAAAATTTAGTAGAACCAAAGCATCTGACATATATAGTGTTGGAATTTTACTGTGGGAAATCTCAAGTGGAAAAATTCCATATTATTCATATGAATCTAGATTACAAGATGAAAAATTAGATTTAATTTCTTATATTATTAAGGGAAATCGAGAAAATCCTATTAAAGAAACACCGCAAAATTATGTTAAGATCTATCAAGGTTTGTTTTTAATTTAAAATGTAAATTTAATTAATACATTATAAATTATTTATTTCAATTACATATTTCAATAGATTGCTGGAATCAAGACCCAGATCAACGTCCAAATATTGAGAAAGTTATAAAAGATCTTGAGTAATTTAATCATTAAAATCAAAATTTCATGTTAAAATATTATGTGTTAATGTTTCATTAATTAATTCAAATAATTTTCTAATTTATTATTAATTCACATTATTTACATTGTATATATTATATTATATTATATTACAGATTGTGAGTATAATTTTAATTTATAATTACTTAGAACAAAAATTTCAAGTTAATCTTATTTCTAATAATATTTCTTTTGTTAATTATAATATAATTTATATTTATATTACAGATCGTGAGTATAATTTAAATTCATAATTATTTAGATCAAAATTTCAAGCTAATCTAATATCCAATAATATTTTTTCAACGTCATATGATGTTTCAAACATCGTTTCTAACTTCTCTAGCAATATTACAACTTCTAATAATAACAACAACAACAACAATAATAATCTTATTTATCAAAATGGTGGTGAAGATCAATCATTAGTTACTACTGATCCATTATTTTCTCAATATTCTCGATCCACAAATATCTACAATTCTTCCACCACCACCAACAATAATGATGAAAAAACAAGAGAAGAAATACAATTAATAAAACTTGCCAATTTTATAGGATCTACAGATTATACCGTTCCTCTTGAACCCATAATGAGACGTACATTAACGCCTCAACAAAAATATTTCTTGACATTACCACATGATCCTCGTATAAATTTTATTCCTTGTTTACATTTACGTTCAAGAATGATTCAATTTCAAGAATTTTATGATTTATATGAACTTATTGATTTATTACTTACTAAAGCTAAGTGTCACGGGGATCCAATTGATCCCGATTCATGGGAATGTCCGCAAGAATTCCTTGATCGATATCCATATTTGGTGATTCAGCATTGTAGTATAAAAACCGCTTTATATCAAAATATGGAAAATTACCATCAAATTTTAGTGAATATCAATTTGACGAAATAGGTAAATATTTTTATTTTATTTTATTTTATTTTTATTTATTCGTTGAATATATAATTAATATATTTCTATAATCTTTAATTATTCAGGCACGCACGCACGCACTCACGCACGCACGCTAGTAATATTATAACAGTATTTTAGTGAATAATAATTATTATATTATTAATTTATGAAAATATTGGTTTTTTTTTTTTAAAATATAGAAATTATAACATTATAGATATTTTACTCATATTATAACGCTATTCTAGAGACATTTTTATTAACTAATATGTAGTTTGTTTCTTTTTATATATTAGCGCATTTTCAAAAAAAAAAATGACTCATTTTACATGAATATAATGAATTGGGAAGTGATAAATAGGGGAAATAAGTTGACAATATGGAGTGGCTGTAAATAGGACGTAGTAAGGCGATGGAAATATGTACGGTTAATAAATAGAGAAATGATAGGTTAGTCTGCGAAATTCGATATACGTACATATATATTATTGCTTTATAAAAATAGAATAGAAACCATCGTTTCAATAAAGAAAATGATTTGTTATACAATAAGAATTTTTTTTTTTTTGTTGGTTTTTATTTTCGAATAAGCTTGTTCTAAAAAAAAGTTCAATATTGATATACGAGAAAATATAAATTTATAATATTCTCAGAAAATATAGAAATATTTTCAATCTTACTAATCCTACAATAAAGATGAGTTACTTTATTATTATTTTTAAGGCGTTGAATAAGAATAATCCGAATGAACAAGTATTCAAGGTGTGTCAACTTCGAAATTTAGGTATAAGTATCCAAACCAATGTTGGCAATTAACTTAGCGAAATTGCGCCACATTTTGAATTGGACATATAGATTTTATGTCCAATTGTCCAATTCAAAGCAATTGGAATGAACGGATCTATTTATTAGATGATTTATGTAGCAATAATAGAGATTATATTAGTTCTTGTTGGTAATATCAAGTAAAAAATAATCATTGGGTATAAATTTGGCTACAGAAAATAATTCAGTGGAAATAATGAAATTGATCAAAAACATATTTATCAAAAGGGTATTCCATGTGATACTTACATATATGTGCATATGCATTCTATAATTCTTGCTATTTTTGTACACGTGCAGATTTTTATACAATTCTTCTCTTATTAAGGAATGAATATTAACAATCAATTTGGATTTATTTAGCATTCGCTCAGAACACGTAAATATGTCAATTACTAATATGTAATATCTCTATACGTGTAATTGGATATCTGATCGGCAGATTGATTTAATAAAGATTATATAATTTAGTAATTGTTGGCGACATAAAGTAAGAATTTTTGTGTGAAATTGTAATAATAATGACTATGACAAATGTTAGGATTGCAGAGAGCAGAAAATAAAAAAAAAAACTGGTGTCCAAACTGTAAATCGCTTGAAATAATATCTTATGGACAAGTGGAAATAATGAAATTGATCAATTAATTCAAGAAAATCAATTAATACCTAAGCATGACGATTGGAATTATTTAAGATATATACAGAAGGTGAATTTGGCATAATATATAAAGCTCAATAAAATAGCATCCCAACAGAATATATAATAATAAACGATAGTAGCGAAGAAATTGAAAAATATTGAAATTTATGGTATTACTTATAATCCCTTAACAAAAAAAATATGCTTTAGTTATGAGATATTATGAGGAAACACAATTAGATAGAAGATAGATCATTGCTCTTGCTCGGGGATAGAATATTTATGCTATTACGCGTAACATATGGTTATTCATATTTAAATGATCTTGGATTATGCAAACCAGGGCACATGGGAAAAACAGCACCTGATGTTTTACCGTTGGGAATGATTACGCGAGAGTTAACATCAAGAGAAGTTCCATAAAATGATCGTTTACATTTAATAATATTTGTGATGTTGTTTGTCCACGAACTATAAGAGGAGCTCCAGAGATTTATATAATTAATTAATAAACTTTTTCATAGAATTCAGATTTAATTATATTGATAATTTTTAAATTTTTACCAGTTTATACTTAATATAAAATTTTATTAAAAGATTTCATAAATGCAGTATAAAGGAAGTTGTGAGCGACTAAAGAAATTTGTATGATAAATTTTTACTTAAAAAAAAGGTGAACTTGAATTTTATGATTATTATTTAATGATGCAGTATAATGTAAGATTTATTAAATAAAATAAAGATAAAATAAGAATTGAAATAATTGAAATAATTAATAATAAAATGATAAAAATAATATAAAATAAAATACAAAATAATAATTACAAAATAAAATACAATGAATCTACAAAATATCGATCAACCAAAATATAATAAAAAAAAATAACAAAAAAAATTAAAAATTATTGATCAAGAATTAAAAAAAAAGAAAAAAAAAATAATCAAAAAATAATAAATAAAAATAAGATTTTTTATGACAAGAATTCTCTCAAGTGTAGTCTCATAGCAAAGGAAATAATTGATTTGAAAATTACGAATGATGTCTAAAATTATTAAATTATAGAAGTTATAAATTACAAATTTGCAATAAAAATATGAATGTTAAAAATCTTAATGGCAAAAATATTCATACCACTCTAATAGCTTCCACATTAATATTCTCTATGGTGTCACAAGATTGATGATAACAAGTATCTAAAGGTGCATTTGCAATTCCTCCAAATTTTTGTTGAGCCGTTCTATTTTTTATTTCGGATGATCCGGTGTAAAGTCCTCCTATAAATTATAAATTTTGATTAATTATTATTAATAATTCTAATTCGCTTTACTAAGGCTAAGGATAGGGATCTGTCACCACCCAATACCAATAGAAAAATAAAAATAAAAATAAAAATGATTGTTAAATACCTGATGGGATTCCGTTTTGAATGAAAGGTAAAAAATCACTACCTCTCAACATATCAGAAATGTCGTAATGTTTTCTAGTCCCGTGAAAATTATTTTCAAATACACGTTGAATTTTAATTGAACCATTTCGAGCATCTTCTGGAGCATCAGATCCTCGAAGAATCTTCATAAGAACATTAATTAGTAATAAGTTAGCGTCTTGAAGAAATAAACGAACAACAAATAAACAAACAGAATAAATAAATGAATAAACAAACAAACAAACAAATAAATGAATAAATAAATGAATAAATAAATGAATAAATAAATGAATAAATAAATAAATAAATGAATAAATAAAATAAATAAATTATTAATTAATTAATTAAATGCTTACAAAGAAAATATAATTAGGACTTCCCAACATGTCAAAATTTAAATTCATTGCCACATTATCAATTTCACCAGTATTTATTAATTCTCTTACGAAATGGGCTGAACCCATTAATCCAATTTCTTCAGCTCCCCACCAAGCAAAAATTAATCTATTCTTTGATCTAAATCGATGTTTCTCTAGATACAATAAAATTTCAAGTATCGTTGATGAACCGGAAGCATTATCTACCAAACCTGGACCAGCTGGAACTGAATCCAAATGAGATCCTATCACAATGGTATCTTCTTTATTACCATATTTGTTTAAATAACAAAGAACATTAAATGTATCAACTGTAAATATTTTGGTATAAGTTGTAATATTTATATTTTTTGCATTGCCTAAAATTTGACCTAATGAATATGATGCCGCAAGAACTGGAATTGTCATTAAAGGATCTAAAAAAAAAATGAATGAAATTATCACCAATGAAATTAGATTATAATCAATAATGTAATGAAGAATACAGTAATAAACAAACAATGATCATCTGACCTCCTTCTTTCCAATTATCTTTCCTCACACGAGTATAAGAAAGTTTGGTTTTATGTTGTGAGTTATAAAAGATAACAGCAGATGCGCCAGACTAGAAGAATGTAATTGATTTTTATATATCAATAATTCTGTATAATAATATAAATCTAATTACGCAATATATATTTAATATATTTAATACCTTTTCAGATTTATATGCACTTTCCCAAATATCACATTTTCCTCCTAATTTAATCAACGCAACTTTTCCTTCTACTTCCCATTTTTCATCTTCATCATCACATGGATTTAGAATTTCAGTAACATTTTGTAATACTAAATTTGCAGCTTGCCCACCATATCTCATACCTATAAATAAAAAGATTAACAAATTGTTATTTACAATAGTGATAATAATGATGATAATAATGATGATAATAATGATGATGATAATAATGATGATAATAATGATGATGATAATAATGATGATGATAATAATAATACCGACTCCAAAAATCAATTCCACCTTGATAAATTATGGTTTCATTATTATCAAGAGTAACATTTAATTCTGCTTCTTTTTCTTTTTCCCAAATTGGAACTTTAAAATATTGTTTTTTAATTTCACAACTTGTTGTCTCATTTATTTTGCCAATCACATATTCAGCCGATGCATTAAATCCATCAACAATTGAACGTGAATTTCTAGTTGATTGATTGGCAATTTCATTGAATGCTCTTAAATGAGCAAAAATATTTTTTGTTAAATCTCTTGGCCATAGTATTTCTTCCGGTGCGTCAGCTTTTCATAAATTATAATTTAATTACACACATTAATTGCATTGGTTAAACCGTAGATAATGTAATACATAGTCGATTACAGATACAAAATAATTGTATTAATAATACTTGCTTACGATCATTACGAGGTATAAATGATATAAATAAAATAATGGAAAAAAGTAATCCAATTAACGCGAGAAGACCATATGGTTTTTTGTTGTAATGATGATGTCTTCTATTATAGAATTGTCGTCGAAGTTCTTATATTTAGAATAAAAAATATTTATTATTATTATTATCTGTTAAAATTCCGTTATAATAATAATAATAATAATAATAATAATAATTATTATTATTATTTATTAAAATATTAAAATATATATAACTATAAAATTCTATATATATATATATATATGCAACCTTCGTCATTATCGTTAGAGGAAAGTAAAGGAGTTCGCTCTTGATCTTGAGACATCTCCGAATAAGAATAATAAATGAATTAATAATGATAAAAATAATAGGAGTTGAAAATAAAGTTGGAAAAAAAAAATTTGAAAAGCATTGGAATATATTTTTTTTAAGATCTTTTGTAGATATCAAATGACTATTTTGTAATTCGTTCCACCGCTAAATTGACAAATAAATCATTTATGTATTTCCAATTTTAATTTTCTCTTATTTTATAATTATATCATTATGTCATTATAATTATAGCTAGTCTAACTCGAACATGGTTTAAAACCAACCACCTGGTGATTCTTTGTGACTTTCGTTAAAATTTTTTATAGCGTTCCACCGTGAAAGTAAAATTAATTAATTAAAAAAATTAAATACAATTGATTTCTATTTAAAAAAAAAAATCATAATAAATAACTTTGCTTTGATAGATTGTAGTCTTTAAAAAAAAAGAAGTATTAAATATAAAAAAAAAAGTGGTGCTGCAATATATAGATAAATCTGATTTTCCCTGTTATAGAACTTGTAAAAACAACAATAATTAAAAATTTTAGTTTAGAAATATAAAGCAATTACTAGAATTAACCAAGTTGTTCAATACGAAAGTGAAAATTTATGTGGCTTCTATACCAAATTATTTACTTTTTCGGAGTAAGAGAACCTTATTATTATTGATTTTTTAAGATTTTAATAAATATCATACAAGTTATCATCTTTACACTTTTTAGAATCTCTTTCCCCTTTATTTTCATTTAATTATATTTAATCATTAAAAAATTATTCACTCTGGAAAAATATAAGTTTACGTTTTTTTTTATTCTTCTACGAAAAATGGGTCGCAATACCTATCAAACGGACTCCGAATTTAGTAGTGAGGTAGTTATATTAACAGAATAATCACATGTGAATTCATTTTATGTTATGAAAATCTTTTTTTTTATTATTATTTATTTTATTTATTTTAAATAGTCAGAATCGATAAATACGGAAGCTTTATTAACCCGAGGAAAAACACATTTTAATTCATGTAATTATGAAAAAGCTCTTGCCAACCTTGAAGTGGTATTAGATATAGAACAAAACCACGCAGATGCATTAATTTATCGTGGTAAAATTTATTACGTACTTAAAAAATTTCAAGCTTCACTTGACGATTTAAATCATGCCTTAGAAATTGATCCATATAATGTTCAAGGATTAATTGCTCGAGGAAATACTTTATGGATGTTAAATGAATATGATTTATGTTTAAACGATTTGGATTCGGTCTTAAAGGTTGATCCTAGAAATGAAGATGTTTATAAAATTCGAGGAAAAATTCATCGAATTTTGGATAATTTTGATGAATCACTTAATGATTTAAATAAATGTTTAGAATTAAATTCGAAATGCGCTTTCGCTTTAAGATCTCGAGGAGATGTTTATCACATGATGGGACTTTTTACTGAATCACTTGAAGATTTGAATCGATCCTTACAAATTGAACCCAATAATTTATTTGCCTTAAAAACTCGCGGAGCTACTCATTTCATGTTAAAACGTTATAGGCAAGCGTTAGATGATTTTAACAAAGTAGTAGAAATGATTCCTGATGATGAATTTTCGAAAGAATATAAAGAAGCTATCCGAATGAAATTATTAGATCACCTATATGATTAAAAATTATAAATTATAATAATAACTGAACTGTTAATTATTTTCTATTTATTTTTAAAATTTTATGAATTTTATGAAATTTTTTAATAATAGTAAAAGAAAGATATTTATTTTACACATTATTTTTTTTTTAAAAAAAAGTGATTTTTTAGTAATAAATTAATTAATAATTTACTATTTAACACAAAAAAAAAATGTAGAATTGGAAATTGGTTTCCAAAGGTTACAAATTTTTTCATCCAAAAGCGTTTTATATTTTAGTCCTTCAATCCATTCTTTTGGTAATTTATTATATCCAATTTTTGTAGCATTTGTATTCGCGTCACTAATAAAAATTTTTTATTAGTTTATTTTTTATGGGTCAATATTGTATATTTTTATGTTTGTACAATTTAATAAATAAATAATAAAAATAAATAAATAATAAAAATAAATAAATAATAAAAATAAATAAATAATAAAAATAAATAATAAAAATAAATAATTAAATAAATAATAAAAATAAATAATAAAATAAATAATAAAAATAAATAATAAAAATAAATAAATTTCATCCAGCTTCCAATGTTAACTTCGTAATAATCTTTTTAAATGCTTCACTTTCATTTTCTATTTTATTCAAATTTCTCATGAAACAATATAACGCCGAACCCAAACATTCATAAACATATCCAATACAAGTAAATTACAAACCGATTTAAGTGAAGAAGCTTTTAAAGGAATATTGTATTCCGAAAGTTTAGCTTCGTTAGAATTAAATGAATTCTCAAGTATTGGGAAAATTTAAGATCATAAATTTATATCTAGCCAAATAATTCCATTCCAGTTGGAAGAGGATTAGAAGATTCTCGATTTTTAGAATTCATATAAGGAGTTCTTTTAACCATAATTCTTTAAATGGTGGTAGTGTCGGAGAATAATGATTAAGATCATTTTACTCATTTTACTACTAATGAATTTTTTTTTTATTTTTTTTGGTTTTCTGATGATGATGATGGCGGTGGCTGTGAAGAAGTAGTTGTTATACTTTTAAAGGAAATGTTATCTTGATTGTCTTCATTATTAGAATTTCCGGATTGTAAAGATTGTAACTAATTCAAGATTTCTTGTTTATCTTCTTCAGTTAAATCCATTAGAATATATTGAACATTAACTTTAGTCAATCTAGATATTAAAATTATAATGATTACACTTGTAAGGTTTGGATTATAACTTGTTTTCATCCCAAGAAAATCATATTGTATCCAAATATCCCAAGCTGATTTATGAGGTTTTTTTTTAGAAATTGCGGATGATTAAGTACTGAGCCAACTGTTAATTCAATATCACATGGACTAGAGTATAAGAAAAAAAAAGGTAAAGTTAAAAGAATAAATTACTTTTATTATTTTACTCAAGACTCCCTATGACCTTGATAAAAAAAAAATAATAATATTTTACGTTTTTTTTTAATCCCATAGCGAAGTCGCAAGAATTAAAAATTTCATCATTTGCTATTAAAGTATCAATTATAAGAAGTAATTGATCTAGTTTCATTATATTTTTAGAAAAGTTAAATTAAATTCTGATTAATCTTTAAATAATGAAATATGTATAATATATAATATAAAAATGGATTAATTATTTTTAATTTTTTTTTGGACATAGCAATCTCCTGTCAATTTTCATCCAAATTAAATTTTGACGCATTTTTTAAAAAGTTATTGTAAAAATTCTGCTTGCTGCAAAATGTTAAAATGACGATGTTTTAATTATTATAAATTTTCTGTACAAATTAAGATAATGCAGAGTGACGAAAAAAGCATGTGATTTTAAAGAAGGCTTAAAAAACAAGAACGTAGAACCCAGATAATTATTAGCTATTATAAAATTGTACAAAAAGGGACGTGATTTATTTTTCCATTTTTTTTTTTTTGGATAACTCTCTCCGATAGAAATCGTGCATTTGTATACACAATGACAAAATTATGTTTGCACAGCACAAATAAATGGATTCTATATCGATGATAAATTTAAATCATCGTTTTTGATAAGAAAAACAGTGGATCATGAAGATTGCTTGTAAGCACTGAATTTATATTTTTACCTTCTTCCTTTCGCTTCCTTGCTTAGTAATGCCAGAGAATTTAAGAATGCTCTCTTTCAATAAAAAAAAAAAAATTAGAAAATTCAAAAACCAATTTATTTAACTTAAGGTTTAAGAACCATAAATGGTAAATATATTGATAATTTGATAATTTGTACAGTACATTTCAAGTAATTTAAAATTACAACTAGCGAAATTAGGAATGGGGAACTTCTAGAACTTTACTTAAATAAATCGGATATGTTTTTGTATCATTGGGGACCTTCTAAAAGAAAATTTCTTTTTCATATATGAAATTGTGAATATTATAAATGGTTTATCGAGTTGTAATAAAGATCTTGTTTTACATCTTGGAATGATTTAAAATCAAATGTTTTTAGTTGTGAAACAAGATTTTATAGATGTATATCATTATTGATTATATAATCAACTAAAATAATGAATATAGAAATTAATAAAATAATCTAATAATAAAAAAACTTAAAAATTCATAATATAAATAAAATGAGCTTAATACATATAGATATAATTTAGCATAATGGATGTTCTGCATATAATATAAGAAATTTTTTGTATTATTTAAATAGATCAAATATCTGAAATTTGTGGCGTCCAACCAAATTATATTGTTTTTTTTGTTTGACTTATACGGAGATTCGGAATTATAACGAACAAAGAAAGAAGAGTAGAAAGAAATAAGGATGATAAGTATAAATAAATGAAAGATATGAATAATAATAAGGATAAACTAATGCCACTATGGATAAATGAAAAATAATGATGATCACAATTACAAAATCAAATTGCGAAATCAAATTACAAAATCAAATTCTAAAATATTTGTCAACTATATTAAGAATTGATTTATCATAAGAAGAAATACTGGTATTTGCTATTTTCATTTCCAATTGTTTAATAGGAATGGGAATTGAAATTGAAATTGAAGGAGTAGAAATAGTTTTAGTGGAATAAGGAGAATGACGATGATGAATATTGTTAATATGATGATGATTATTATTATTGGTAGTAATGAGGGGAGTGGAGGCAAAAGATTTGAAACCATAATTTAAGTAATCATAATTATTATAATTGACTTGGGATGATGATAATGAATTGGAAGTGTTGTGATTGGGTATGTTGTTAGAAATAGACCAAGAACGAGAAGAACGAAAAGAACGAGAAGAACGAGGAGAATGGGAAGAATGGGAAGAATGATTGTTGGAAAAGGTAATTGGAGGCGAAACAGAAGGTGAAGTAGGAAAATTAATTGCAGTTCTTTGATAATCTTTGCGATTAGGCTGATAACTATAATTAGGCCAAATAGTTTTATGTACTTTATTAGCAATATTAGCAATTTTTCCATAAATGGATTTTTTTTCAATATCTAATGAATGCCATATAACTTTTGCATGTTTGGAAATAATTTTTAATTGTGCAGAATATTCTGGTCCTTTTTCGTGAGTTATTTTAGCTTGAAAATTTTTACGAAAGATTACAAATGAATTTTGTGATCGAGGTGCCTTCTTTCGTCTAGGTTTATGAGTAGGCATTATTAAATCATAAAGGGGTAAAAATATGGTGGAATCAATTTGTCTTCTTTCATCTTGAGTAATTGTAGAAGTAATTATAGATTCCAAAGTATCTGTATCTGGAGCATAAATTTCAATATTTGGATCTGGAATAAATAAAACATGGCCTTGCTTAGGAGGGATATAATTTTTAGGAAACTTTTGAGTCATTATTTTAATAAAAAATCGTGAATCGATTAAATAAAATAGTCAATTAAAAGTATAAATTGATGAAAGTTGAACTGAATTTGAACGAAAAAGAGATTGCGTTTAATAATTTTGCGCATAAATAAATAAAGTAAACGCATATATATACGACAATTTAACTTTTTTTTTTTTTAATGAAAAATGAACCATATATATATATATTTTATTATTATTATTATTAGTTCATCAGATAATTTATTATTTAATTTATTTCCCATTTTTGTTGTTTTTTATTTGATTTTTTGTTTAGTTTATGGCTTTATTCACTCTTCCTCCACTCCTTAATTTACATTTTGATTTACGTAAACATAGAAACAGGAAATGATGTTTTGTACTTTTTTACTTTGAAGATTTTTTTAGTATTTTATGAAAGAACAAATAAATCCCCAAACTTTAATTTATTATTATGAATTTTAAAAAAATTACTACTATGAAATTACTTTAAATTAATTTAAATTAAACCATGCATTTTTTTTTTTCTTTTTAAGAATATGAATTAATTCTTTTAAACAATGACATGAAAAATTCGAGAAATGACGCACGATTTTTTTAACGGATTAGACAAAGGAAATAAAATTTTAGGAAAAGAATAAAAGAATAGTTTAAGATTTATTTTTAAACTCATTTCTCGTGTCAATCTCTCATTTTATAAATTAACTCCTTAAAGTTTAAAGTAAATAAATAGTCGTAAATAATCAAATAACTAAATTGTAAAGTAAAAATAAATAAAATAATAATAAAGTCAAATAATTCTTAATTTCATTTAATATTAGCTTCCTATATGGTTTATTATAGTTTATTATGCACATGCGTTAACACATCATAATGCCGCAATATATTCGTGAGTTTTATTAATTATTACAATAATAAAATATTCGGCTAAACCATTATTTATGCTTTCAGGACAATTAAAGTAATTAATTTGATCTAAGTAAAAAAAAGAGTTTATCGGAGTTTGTGAGAGAAAAAGAAAGATAATTGAAATTTACTGGAAAAAAATATCAGCAACAATATGTTTTTCAAATATTTGGGAATAAATTTTTTGTATTATCCAAATATGTTTTAATAAATTTATCAGAAAAAATGTTAGCAACATAATGTTTACAAAATATTTGGAAATAGATTTGTGTATTATCCAAATAAATATTAATATATATAAATATATCTAAAATATATCTAAAATATATAACATTTATTTAAAGAGATATGTTAGATAACTAAATGTATCTTTATTCTTTTTATTCTTTTTGTTCTTTTATAACAAAAAAGGATACCTAAAAACATTTAGAAAGAAAGATTTAGATTGATGGATAAATTCAGTTAAATGATGATTACTTACCGCTTTAAAATTTAGAATTCGAATTCGACATTAACACGACATTAACTCATACATGACATGCATGGATTTATATTTTTTTAATTGGTTGAAACCCAAAATGGAAGTATTTTTCCGAGATTATGTAACAAACAGTCGATTAATTTCTTAAAAATGTGAAAAATGTAAGACAAAAGATGAAGATAAATTATTTAAGTTCTTTGATGATAACAATTTTTTCTTTTTACTCGAATCATTTTTTATATAAATTATATTATAAATTATATTACCTTATAAATTATATTTATATGTATGAAAATATTCTGTGCAAGGTATCAAGGAATCTCTCATTGAATATTGATATGATGTTACTTCTTTGTGTGTATGTGTAGAGGAAGCAGCGCGCGAATAAATTTAATTAATTTAATTAATTGAACATGTGTTTTCTCAATAATTTCCCAAATTTGGTTTGAATGAATTTATTTAATTTACTTTAGCCACAATTATTAAATTAACTAAATTATAATTATTATATTAATCAGTTTTTAATGTGATCATGGAATTTTTTTTCATCCAGTTAAATTATTATTATTATTATTATTATTATTATTACTACTACTATGTTATTATTAATCGGTAATAATAATAGCCGATTTAGTTAATCCATGCAAAAAAATTTCGCACAAAATTGACTGAAAAATTACTGGATTTATATACATTTACTGTAATTTTGGATACCTGCAAGTTTATATAATGCGTTTTTACTAATTAATCTACTTAAATAATAAAGAATATTATTGAAGAATAATGGTTGGTCTGGAACGTTCCATTTTAGGATTTTTAAATCCTTTTTTTTTAAATATAATTCATTGATGATTTTTTTGGAATTATTTTTGGTCAATGTAAAAGGTGGATATATGTTTTACAGCTTGTGATAAAAAGAACAAGGAATGAGAAAAAGAAGGCAGAAATATTTATTTTAAATATGGAAAATTTATATTAATTTTCTTATTTGGATTAAATGTACTTTTGGTTCTTTCTTTTCTTTTTGACTGTTTTGTTTGTCTTTTTTTTTTTGTTTCTTGTCACGGAAAATTTATACAAATGAACTATATAGTTAAAGAGGAATTATGATTAATATAGAATTTAATAGAAAATTAAAAAGTGAAATTCGAAAAAACTTTACAACTTTGCTGCTAAGCAAAAAAAAAGAGATTAATTATTTTATTAATAATATTAATGGTCGAGACTGGCAAAACCACCGTATGATATCATAATTCTTAATTAAAATGCTATAATGGTAATAATAACAAAAATAAAATAATAATTGTGATAAATGTGGACATAATTATAAATTCTTTATGGTCTGTGCTTCTTTGTTGTTTTCCGTCACGTGAAGATAAAATTTTGAACTATTTAATGACACACACTCAAAAAAGATTTTAAATTTCCAGAATATTTCAACAATGCCTTCACATCAATATAATTATATTCCTGACTCAGCAACACTCGAATATATAATTGATTCTACCATTACAACAGAAGAACGTCAACAAATAGAATTTATTATTTTCTTACCACTTCATGAATTAATAATTCCTACATATAAACCGAAACGAAAAAAATCACCTCGATCGCAAAATAAATTTATAATTTTTCGAAAAGATTTACAAGCCCGAATAATTAGTGAAAAGGGTCCACAATATTCTTGTCAATTAAAAATTATTTCAAATAATGCCAAAAAAGCTTGGAATAATTTAGATTTCGAACATACTTTATTATATGAAAAGATTGCGAATATTGCTAAAAAAGTCCATAAGCTTATGTGGCCTGATTATATTTATAAACCTAATCGTAAAGAATTTCATCCTTATCATTCTTCTCTTCCTCACGAATATTTTTCAAATTATCATATAAATCTCATAAATCCTATAAATTCTCTAACTGATTTATCTAATAATCAATTTCATTCTCCACCTTACATTAAGCAATTAGAAATGAAAACAATAAATAATATCTCTTCTTATGATAGATCTCTTCATGATATTGTTGACAAATTTAGTCGAATTTAAAAAGAAAAAAAGAATTTATTTTATTATTATTATTTAGTGATAAATATTAAAGTCACTGGACACTAGAAATTAATAAAAAAATTACTGGGTTTAAAATGCTAATTGTGACACAACGGGTGATCTAAATTGCATAAACTTTTTTTTTATTATTTCTCTAAATGCCTATAGAGAAATAAAATTAACAAAAATAATAAATTTAATCTTTAAACTTTACCCATACCGATCTCGTTGAATACGTTGAATATTAGATGAAATTGTAGCCAGAAATAATATCTAAAACTTTATCTAATGAAAATTCGATTTATTGTATATATTCTGTTGTTTTTTTAAAGGTTATAGAAACCAAGGAAAACGAGATTCGAATTTTACTATTATTAACTAATCCTATTAATTTTGATCATGTGATCCCGATTCACGGATTGATCCTAGCCAAGGGTTTAGGTCCACAATTGTATTTATCACGTGTTAGTTACATTAAAATTTATTTTTAAGATATTTTAAATTTGTTCTATATTTGACAATTTACAAAAATTTTGTAATTTTTTTTTTTTATAAAAATTGTAATATTTCTAGTACAAATTGTTTCACCAATTTTGAAGTCAATATTGATCAGATCAAAGATAAAAAAACCACCATTCGAATGGCCTCAATGAATGGAGCTATATATTATTTTTCTATGACAATTAGATAATTATTCATAATAAATAAATCAAAATACCGAAATGGGAATATCTCGGTTCATACTGAATGAATTCAAGTAAAACAATACCATTCAATTTTCCTCATTGAGACGAATCGATTGGTAGTTGTTTCATCCCAATTGGACAGATATTGACCAAGTTATCATTGATTAAATTTTTGTATAAAATTTATTATCCATTTTGTACGAAACTTCAAGCAATGATAACTTGGTCAATATCTATCCAATCGGAATGAACAACAACCATTCGATTCGTCTCAATGAGGGAAATTGAATTGTAGTTATTTTATTTGAATTCATTCAATTCAATCAGTATTATTGAGATATTTACATTTCGGTGCTTTATAATTTATTTATTATGGATAATCATCTAATGGTCATAGAAATCTGAAATTTTTTTTTAATACTATCTTTAAGTTACTTAATAATTTGTTTAATATTTAATTAATAAATTAAGAACTTTAATTAGAATTAATTTATTTAGAATTTTTAATATGTATTGATAGTTGCTAAATGCAAAAGATTTTTTTTTAATGATAAATATCAGATACACTCCTAAGTGATCTTAAACTTAAGAATGAATCGCATTTTTTTTATACAATATACTACTATATTTTCTGTCATAAGTTAGAGTAAATTGATTTCTTTATACGCAATAAACAAATAATATGATAATAACATTTACCTTTCTTTTTTGTCATTCATTTCACAAATTACATATTCAAAAAAAAAAAAATAATAATTACTAAGCACTTGAAAATATATTTCATTTTGATGACAATAATTGATTGTTAATAATTGGTGACCAAGAGGTAATTTATGAAAATTCTTCTGATTAAAATCATCAGTTCAATTGGTATTGCAATAGATTAAGGGCAATAGTCTTGACCAAAAAGTCATTATGCAGGGTCTTCTAATCAAAACCAGTTCAATTGTTTCCAAGAAATTATCCAACTGGGTAAACCAAAAAAAAAGATCGAACCACGATGAATTAATTAGATGAGAAAAAAGTGCAGAACCTCCATATCATAAACTTTGATTATAACTACTCAATATCACCAAGGGCTACTCTGAATGAATACAAAATATTAAACGTGATACATGCTAGAGGGTTCCAAGATTTACAATAAATCTTTAAGCTTGTAAATCTTGTAGTCAAATCGGATCACAAACTAATAAATTTCATTTAGAAATTAAATCTTTATTATTTTTGATAAATTACTACTACTGGTGACAGCAGCCGTACTTTGTACGATGCATCTCTTGTTCTATCACAAAGAATACATAAATTCTATTAATAATAAAGTAAATTTTCTCTTTTTGAAATTTATTATAAAATTAAAATTAATTTATTAGAAAGGAAAAGCCAGAGAATCAATAGAGGTAGTACCACCAACAATAGTATTTGCACAGCCTATAACATCAGGTGGATCAACAGAATCATTGACAATAGCAACTATAATACCGTATTCTGGAGGTAATTTGGCTGGCACCGGAACATTCTCTACTACATTAACTGAAGTTCCAGTTGGAATTTTCGCATTAAAGATCGGTTGTATAGGTGCAGGAGGCTGAATGGTAATATCAACAAATATAACATAAAGTAAGTAATCTGAGGTAATGGGTTTCGTAAGTGTTCCTGTAATAGTAAAAGCATCGGTTCCTCCAGGGACGACAGGATCAGGTGAAATTGATACAGAGAGTAGGGATGGAAGGGGAATTCCAGGGGGGGGGGGAGTACATTCTTGAAATTCAGTTTTTCTTTTAAGAAGCTGATGTGGAATAGCATTAACTATGGAAAGCATGACCAATAAAACGAATACAAAAATAAAATTTCGGTTCATCATTTTTTTGTGAATATAATATTTGGTTAGAGTAGAATATTTGTTTTTATTTTGTAATTATCAATGAGAGTGAATCGAGATTACTGCCCTTTTATAAGAAAATTTCTAGTCCTTAAAATGGATCTGTCTTTTTAAAAAACCGCGGACACTTCATATATAATATAAAGTCTCCGAATTAGACACCGTTATTAGAAGTGCAGACTCATGATTAGCATCACGTTTCCCGAAACTATTTACCGGAAATAGTTTAGTATTTGTATATTTTATTAATACGTATTATTTATTTATTAAAAAGTGAAAAAATAAATTACTAAGATTAGTAATGAATTTCTATGCCTCAGGTGATTTATCTGTATGTCCTATCCTTTAATAACCTACGATTATTTCCAAAACCTCTTTCACACTTTCATGCTTTATATTCTTTGGAATCTTTTTCTAAGGCCTTTTTGGGTAAATTAGATAGAATAGTTGCTTGGGAATCTTCTCCAGAAGCAATGTACTATAATCTTTTTTGTATAAATTCACAACTTGGTTTTTAATAACAATAGTTAAGACAAGATTATACAAAAAATTATGGGTTACTTTTAAGAAATAATCATTTTGTGAAATTATTATTTTTTTCTAGTTAGCATATTTATTATTTATTTATAGTATACTTTGTATCAAATATTTTATTTTGTAAATAATTACTATTTTTCTCTATTTGGACAAGAATAAAAGTGTATATTATTCGCTACAGATTTGAGCAGTGATAATAAAAATATAACTTTTAATATATTATGATTTCTAAATATTATTTTTGAATATTATTTCTAAATATAATTAATAAATATAATTTAATTAAACTACTTTAATTATCTAATCTAATATTTTAACATTTCCAAGTTCCATCTGGTGGGGCTAGGTGTTACACCATGACGATGAAATATTTTCACCTAAACATTCACCAACAGTTGTAATTTTGAATCCAAGAGATCTCACCAATTTAACTGCTTCTGGTCCGAGTGAATGTGCCGTATTTTCTGTTGTATCGTGTTGCAACGCAATATGTACTCCTGGCGGTTTTGATGCTTCTTTATATTTATTCAATGATTCTTGCGTGCTCACACCTCGCCAATAATTGAATTAATATCCCATTGGACTACATTATATCCAAGACTTGTTAAAGTATCCATAACTAAAGGATTATCGACACCTGATCCATAGGGTAAACGCATATATCGAGGGGCAACTCCCACAATTTTCAATAAATCATTTTCAAGGTTTGTCATTTGAAAAACGATTTGTTCAAGTGATAAAGTGGCGAGATCTAAATGTCCCCAAATATGATGTGCGAGCTGATGACCTTCGGCTATTATTGTTTTAAAACGGAGGCGTGATTGTAAATACAATCCCAATTATTGTCATTAATGAAAAATGGCATTTTGGCATTTAATTCTTTTAGGCTGTTGAGTAAATCATTAGTTCACTGTTTTTAAAAAAAGGAAATTCAAATAATTCAAGTTATACTTTATTATTATATTCGTGATAAGATATAAAAAAAATATTATTGAAATAACTTATATACCAAGTGAGGACCGTCGTCAAAGGTAATTGCCATAGTACCAAGGTACCGAACATGAATAAATTGATTTCCTACTTGGTTTAGGAATGGCGGCATTAGTAGTAACAGTAGTCATCTTGGGAATAGGAATAGTAACCTTGAGAGGAGTATTAGTAGTAACCTTGAGAGGAGTAGAATTGGTAATGCCCTTTCACTTCCCGTAAAGAGGCTCCACAATAAGCAAAAGTTGATCCATACCAACCCATTGCGAACAACAAAGATTATTAGGATATTTTGGCGGACCCTTTTCACACCGAGATTCTACATTTTCACACCAAAGTTAAAATTACTATTAAGAATAGTATAGTGAAAATAAGTAAAAAAGTTTGTTGACGCATTTTCGAAAGTACGAGTATGTAAAATTAATGACAAAAATGAATGTCAGAAATGAATGATACAGGAATAGAGAAAGGGTCTTTTTCTTTCTCTCTTATACTTAAAAAAAAAATAACTGATGGCTAACATGTCTTTATTCTTTATTTACACTTGTCTTTATATTTATGATTTTATATTTATGATTCGATTTCATTAATCTAGTGCAACAATTATTTTAGAATTTCCATGTTAGTGAAACAATTGTAAATTTAAAAGAAATAGCAATATATATACATAATGTGATTATATGTATAGTTCTTTTTACGGCAAATTATCTTTTAATTTGTGATCATTTCACAAAATATAATATTTTTTGTTGAGAAATCATTGAAAGCTTAAGTTATGCAAAAAGAAATTTCACAATATAACTCTCCACACTTTTAGACATGTAAATTTTCCTTTAAGGGAAATAAACTATGGATGTAAATGTATCTTTATACAATCGAATAAATCACGAATGATAACATAAACGAAAAAGGTAATATACGTATGTATGTACATATAATGCAAACATTACTAAAAACGATTTCAAAACTCTAAATTTTTTAGGAGCCATGATGTTAATTGGATATGAAATTTTGTCTAAACTAATTAATTTGTGATCCTTTAAATCACATTATTATTAGAATTGTTGTTGCAAGTATCATAATTAGGTTCTTCCATTGGTCAGCGATAATCCATAATAGTAAAGTTTGAAAAGAAAGAATTAAAATTAACTTATCAATACATATAATTTCTTATGATTGGCATAGTACAGTAATAGTGAGACTATGATACAAAAATATTTATGAGAAAAATAATGCGGCGATTCAATTCATTATTTTAAAAGAAAATGTTTTAATCTAAATATACTGTATATTTAAATATAAATATGTATTTATAATATTAACAAATTATATATGTTATAAAGTTCTTTCAAATCTTTATATTACTCATAATTAATTCTCTGAATATATTACTTATCTGCTGATTGAAATAACTGATAACACTTTACTTCAGTCTATCTACCTATCTATTTTTTTTTTAAAAAAAATAATTAAATTTCAATTCTTTTTTTTAGAAAAAATAAAAAAGATGAAATGTATATTTATCCAATCTATTTTCTTTCGGATGTATCGTTAATCCATTGTGAACTTTAGTAATTTAAATTTATCAAATTTATGAAATCTATATATCTTTTTTTTTTCCGTTCTTATTCCTGCAGTTGTTTTATTTATATAATTAATCCTATTTCAACGAGAAAAATTTAATGAAATAAGATTATGCCCTTGTACTTATTTTTCTCGTTAAATAGAATAACGAAAAAAAAAGTTAGGAAAGATGCAAATATTATGCTATCGGCTATATTATTTTTTTTTAAAAAAAGAGAATTATGTTTCGTTGTTTTGATTGCAAAAGCTCCTAAAGCAAAATATTCGGGCTCACTATTAACATATAAAATATCATTTTTTTCATGCTTATCTATCAGATTGGGCATTAAAAGAATATAGCCTGTATGATTGTTAATACAGTGGTGGTCAAAAGTATTGCATCACCTGAGCAAAAATTTTAAAAAAGTGATATCTCGTGATTCAAAAGGAAATGGTGTTACAAAAATTTTTTATTAGATTAGCCGAAATGATTTAATTTTTTGATGTAAAAATCACTGTATAATAATAAGACAAAAAAAATTAAAAAAAATTTTCTTTATAATTTTAGTGATGCAATTCTTTTGACTGTTTTTTATTTATATATATATATATATAACTTAATAATACAATTAAATTGAAATTTTTTTTAAAATAATTTTTTACCATCTTGTATAACCACCTTTAGCTTTAATTACAATTACATCATTTATATGAGTTGGGATAGGTGTCTACCAACTTTTTACATACATCCTCCCCTAACTCAACCCAAATTTTTTGGGTTGCATCCCATAATTCATCCTGTGTTCTAACAGGTGTTTCAAGTTGTTCAAACATCGGTCAATTTCATTCCAAAGATGTTCAATTGGGTTTAGATCCGGAGATTGTGCAGGTCAATCAAGTACCTTAATACCATTGTCTTCAAACCATTTTTTTGTGAGATGTGCTGTATGTTTTGGGTCATTATCTTGCTGAAAAGTAATATCCAATAAATCTTCCTCCAAAATTTGTTGATATAAATCACTATTCATATGTCCATAAATTTGAACTATGTTACCAACTTCAGAAACATCCCTACACCATAATACTGCCCCATCCAAATTTGACCATAGGTTTGACATGATGATTTTTTAATGGTTCTCCAGGTTGTTTCCAACAATATTCTCTTCCATCTGATCCATAAATCATAAATTACCTTATTCCAGTCTTCTGATATCCAAAATTGATATTTTTTTGCAAACGTCATACAAGCAATTCTATGTATTTTTTTTAAGATATGGCTTTTTACGCTTAACTCATGAGCTTAATCCATTTCGATGTAAAGTCCTCTTTACTGTACTTTCACTAACTTCAATTTGTTGCTCAGTTATTAATTTTTTTTTAACAGCCACTGCATTTGTACATTCACCTGTTGTAATGAGTCGTAAAGCATTTTGTTCATATTGACCAGTTAAAAGTCTCGGACACCCAGATTTGGGTTGGCTCTTAAAGGAACCAGTAATATCTTTACGTTGCTTGATTCTTATGACAGTTGATTGAGAAACATTTTCTTTATTAGCTATATAACGGGAGGGATACCTATTCTCAATTAGTGCACAAATCCGTGCTCTTTTTTCAGTTGATAAATAAACTGAGTGGTTTACAAAATTACAGGCAATAAAGTATGTCATAATCTATCATTTTTATATGTGCTACATAATATGTTTTGATGGAGAAAAGTCGTGTAATATTTGTTTATGTTTATTTTTATAAATCGGTCAAAAGAAATGCATCGCGAGTTTCGAGGAATATTTGTTTTATATGTATGGTGATACATCAAATAAGTATTTGTTATACTGTGTCACCTAAATCATAAGTTATTATAATTTTAAAATTTTTGCTCAGGTGATGCAATACTTTTGACTGCCACTTTACATTTGATAAAAAATAATAATAATTTGAAGAATATGAAGAAATAAGATTAATCTAATGAATATAAAGTAATAAAAACTTACTTTGGATTCAAGTGGCATATATGGAGAGTACTTTTGCTGCTTTCTATCTATAATAAAACAATTAAAAAATAATCATTTATTTAATGACAGCAACATCGTCTCTGGAAAATTTTTCAACAGACATATGGAATAATCGTGAAAAAAGATTTTGCTCAAAAAATGTATAAATAATTTGAAAAGTTTTTTTTTCGCAATACTTTCCCTACATGCACCTTTTTTCTGCATTACTTATAATACCGTCACAAATGTGTAGAGTATTTCGAATTACCTATCAGTTTCAGAGTTTGTCTCACTCAAACTTATTTTTAATACACTCTATCTAACTAGTAGGTCAAGCAATTTGTCAATCTAAACTTGCCTATCTTGAAACAGATAATGAATATAATATAATTCTTTTTGATTCGTTATTTTTAATCTGAAAGCTCAGCGAGTAAGGTGGAGTAAAAGTGTTAACACAGTATCAAATAATATTTAACAATATTTCACAATATCGTGACATAAAAGGTAAGTTTATTAAAATATAAAAGGTACAAATTTAAAAGTAGAGTATCATTTAACAACAGAAATATTACAGGTTACATGTCTATTTTACTGTTCCTAAGGGAAGTTTACTTTTCTATCTAATGATATAATGTTCGAAACCGTCTGAAATTATCTGAAAGGTCTAATTAAAGTCTACTTAAAGACTACTGTTTCTTGCCTCTAACATGTACTTCTTTTATACTTTTTCACCTTCATTCAATTTTTACCCATCATCCTTTGTACTTCATTCATCATCTTTGTGTGTCATCCTTCATCCTTGTGTTTCATCCTTCATCCTCGTACGTTATCTTTTGGATGGCCACAAATTATCATCTTCGTTCGGTCATCTTAGTGTTACCATTTTTCATCCCCGTGATAATTCGCATGATTACCAACTTACTCCGCCACAATATCTTGTTTACTTCACAGGTTTCTTTCATACGTTTCAAGCACAGCCATTTTATTAATAGCATATCATATCTAATACATGCATGGGATATTTGTTATATAAAAACACCAATAAATTCTTTAGAAAATTTAAAAAACAGCGTTTGTATATTAATAGTTTAATAGATTCCATAATGTTGTTAATGAGATTTCATTTTTACTAAGAAATTAGTTTTTTTTTTAAAAAAAAAACTATAATAAAAATAACTTTTCTTACAACAATTATTACTACTTTTCTCTTGTATTATTTATTATTGAAAGAATAAAACATCGCTTGTACATATTATAAAAAGTATATGTTATTTTAATAAATATTTTTGAGCGAGAAGTAATGATCGAGTAGTTGAAACTTCTATACATAGAAATATTAATGCTAAAATATTTAAAGCTTTATACAGTGCAGAACTTCAACTTGCAAAATAAATATAAATTGTTCCAGTGATTAGATTATTATCAAATTAGTAACAAAAAATGCATAGGAATTATAAACGATTAAACGAAAGAAATTGCTCGGCAAGAAAGATGATGAGGAAAAAAAAAATTCAAAGTGAAGTAACATCTATAAGTGGCGAGAAATATAAGAACCCCAATTTCAAGGTAACTTTACAAATCGTACATGCAAAAGTCACCGGAAATTTAAAATGCTAATTGTACCACTATGAGTGATCTAAATTGCATACTTTTTTTTATTAGATTCCTCTAATCATATGATTTATTTTTTGTTAAAATTAAATACCCACA